TAATCTCTGAATATCGCATTATGAGCTTAACCACAGCAAAATTTGAATTGTATGTAGTCCTGTCGTACTTTTAACAGTACCAGAATTGCCGTAATGATTTTTGCAGAAAGCACTGAATCATTTAACAGCGGCGATATTTACAAGCGCAACATTGCGAACGGCACAAGTCACTGTTGTAAAAGTAATGCTTACACGGAAATGCCACGCTCGGATAGCGGAATAACAAATTCTTGGTCGGAGAAGCCCGAAAACAAGATGAATTTGTTCTTTAGGTTTGTCATTTGCACAATAAACATGCCAAGAATACCAAGACTACCAGTGAGAATCCTACACTAATGATTTTGTTACGGTACTCCAACGACTCAGGCACATCTATGCCTTTCGGTCCTGGTCTACTTAGTAAATTATTCATCACATAAAATATGTACACATGATATAAGAGGACTGAATAATTTTAAAACAAAACAGTGCGGTAAAAACACTAAATCTTGTGTTTAATTGGAAACTAATATAAGATTGTTTGAGTGTAAATAAGAATCTTTTCATAACAAGTTACTTTGACAGAATACGAATTTCTAACTCAACAATAGTCCATTTTTCAACGCTTGTTTTTCTACGCTTATTTGGAAAAGATTATGAACTTCTGATGTCTGGAATCTTTCATACGATGACCAGTAAACTTTTCCAGCCCTGTGTGTTTAGTCAGCTGTATTGCCAAGATGTGATTTCGGGATCTAATACACACTTCTCATGTTCCGATTCCTAGGTCCATAGCAACATTTAACATGTCTCTTACTGTCCCATGTTCAGTTTGTTATAAAATTCAGTCGAGCACTTTTCTGGGCTGAAAAACTTAGAATTTTTGATTTTTTTTGGCGGCTTCTGAAATTAATTTTATTCAACTGGAATTATATGAATATTCTCTTGCTTTCACCTGTTCGAGATTTGCTCAGGTTCTTGGAAACTGCACTTTTTTCAGGAATTTTTATGTGCCATTGTTGCTAGATATGCGAACGAAATTCGTCGTTTTAGCTCTGTTCCTCGTATATCTTGCAGTAAGTTCTTCATTATTGCAGAAATTCCTTCTAAAAACCTGAGAAAATTGAAAATACTGTTTCATAAAATGAGTCTTAACTAAATGTAGCAGTTTTTCTAGCTGAATAATTTTACATCCGTTTTAAGTTTTTGAGATTTAACTACAGTAGTTGATAGGGACCGGCATCTTTTTGTCGTCTAAGGCAACGTTCGGGATAAGGTGGTGATGCTTGTTGTGCTTGATATGCACTGAGAACACCTCCAAATAGCAAAAGTTCTGCCAAGCACTGAGCTAGTAATTGTTCGAAAGACGAAACGAATGTTAGGATCGTTACCAGGCCGACTACTGGAAGCAGTTTTGAGCAAAACTACTGAAAGGATATCAGCGGCATAGTTGGAGAACCAAACTATGAACTGCAGCTGGCTCAAGTATTTCAATATACAATTTTTTACAAATATTTTGCTGAAATTAATGAATTGCTTTGACAAACTTATAAAAAAAATTGGTGTTTATTACAAAAAAACAATAAATTTGCAGTTAGCTATCTATGGAATTATGGGTATGGAGCAAGGATTGGATTATGACAAGCTACTGATAAAAACTGATCCGATCGTTCGAACTATCGCAGTTGAACTTGAACTTTTTCATGGCGGCGATCAGGC